GGCACCCCATGTTTTGTTCTAAGAGCTCTTCCATGTAGATTATTGATGCATTTCGACTGAATTTTTGTATGTGGTTTGAGGTGGGGTCCTACTTCATTCCTTTGTATAAGGAAGCCTGCTGTCTCAGCACCATGCATCTGTCTGGGAGACTGTTCTTTCCTCCTGGAATTGATGTGCCTCCTTGTCAGAAGTCACTTGGCCATAGATGGTTATTTCTGGACTCTCGGATCTATTCCACTGCTCTCTGTCTTTATGCCAGTACCTCTTTGTTTGCATCACTGTGCTTTTAAGATAAGTTTAGAAATTAAGAGCCGGGAATTTAGCTCAGTGGTTCCGCTGCCTGCCACCTGCCTCATAAGCACAAGGTCCCGAGTTCAATCCCTGGTACCAAAAAAAGAAAATGAGAAATACAGATCTTCCACCTTTGTTCCTTTTCAGTACAGGACTCCTGGTAACCATGTATGAATCTGAGACTTGGGCTTTTGACGGGGATTGTTTTGAACTTGTAGATTACTTTGTGTGATACTGGCCTTTTCACAATATTAAGTATTCCTGTCTGTAAACATGGTTGCTTTTCTCTCCTCTTAGGTCATCTTTAATTGCTTTCAGTCATGTTTTGAAATTTTAATTGTACGAGTTTTCACCTCCTCAGTAAAAACTTACTAGGTGTTTTTGTGCCTTTAAGTTCATGACATAGATTTTTTAAATACCTGTCATGTCAAATCTGAGTTTCAATGTAAGTCCAAGAAGGTGCTGTGGAAGATATCTCGAGCTTTGAAGCCAGGTGTGTTAGGGTTGCGTGTCCTCGCTTTGGCGCTTTTAAGCCATGTGGTTGGCCCTGGATATACAATGCCTCTTTGGAAGTCTGTTCACCTATGCAATACAGGGATCAGCAAACCTGTCTCTCACAGAAGTTGACTAACTCAGATGATAAAAGGAAAGGCCCAGCTACAGGGTGTGACTCCGAATAAGTAAAGTTAGGCTGCCAGGTTTGTGTTTTCTTGCAAGATTTCCAAATAAATACTTCCATATATGTGGCTTAGCATATAATTTCTCATGAGCAGTTAGCTTAAATTACCCTTTATGGTTACTCTTTTTCACATTCAGAATCTTCGTGATTAAAGTGTAAGAAAAACTTGAGTAAAATTACTTCATTATAAAGGCTAATGACTTGTATATACTCACAGCCTGTTCCCAAGAGCCCCTCCGGGGACTGTGCCATGGCCCACCCTGTCCCATGCTGGTCCTCCTGGTGCCACTGCAGGCCCTCTTGGCTCCGTGGCTCCCGGTGTGGTGGGTGCTGTGTGGGCAGGCTTTAGACCTCGCCGGCGTGTCACCCGAGAGTGGCTAAGTGACCAGTGCTGCAGGTTTCCTTCATTACCCCTGAGCGAGTTACTTGGGACCCCACCCACAGGGGTGGGTGCAGCAGCTCCTTCCCTCTGCAGCTGTGTCCATCGCCATGTGCGTAAAACTGAGCATTACTGCTTCCTTCTCTTTCTCTTATGCATCTTAGTTGAACTTTAGGTTGAGGTGGGTAGATTCAGCTTTTGAAAGCAACAGTCTAAGAGTTCAGATTTTTTAAAATTTAAATTTCACCATTATGGTAACGGACTTAATGGTACGGACTTAAAGGTAGCATTAGAATTTCTTTATCATTGTGAAAGTCAGTTCCCTAAGTTATTCCCTTTGCAAAATATATCAGTCGCTTGTGCTCCTCATTTCCTGAGGAACACAAGTAAACCTGTATGTGAGAATATGAAATGTTTCACGTTCTGGCAGCAGTTGTTAGTGGTGGGGTGCAGTTAGAGGTTGGGAAGCTTGGAAGTTTGGAGGAGAAGAAGTGGGAGAGCGAGCTCACTGCAGAGACAAACAGGGCTGCTGCAGGTTCGCCTGCAGATGGTCGTTTCCACTGCCACACATCCCGGTGGCTTGGGTGGAGTAAAGGTCAACAATACGGTTACAGGCAGGGCTCTGAGGGCTCTGGGGTCCGTCAGACCTGGAGTTTTGGGGGGTTTTTTGGTACCGGGGATCACACTGGGGACCTTGTGCTTGTGAGGCAGGCAGCGGCACCACTGAGCTACATCCCCGGCCTAGACCTAGGTTTGTGTCGTGGGTTCTGTACATGGCAGCCACGGACACCAGGAGGTCTTGCTGCTGCCGGTGGTGTGCCCAGAATGGCGAGTGTGCACCCTTCCTTCGCGTTCCTGGCCTCGTTTCTGGAAGGTCTGGAAGGTCCCCGGCAAATCCCCGGTTCCTAATGCAGCTGTGGACTTGGTCTGTGCTCCCCGGCCGTTCATCTCCCAGGGGGAGACGGCCAGAAGGAGAGTCCTGGCTAACTGCCGCGCTTTCAGGCTTGAATTGGGAAGAGGTGCCAGCCACCAAATAAGGCAGCCGTTGCCTGTCTTTCCAGAGGTGGGAGACTCTGAGTTAGGACACCGAGGACTGGCCTCAGGCGCTCACGGAAGTGCATGGGACGCGGGGTCCCACCGCACAGCTGTCTCACGATTGGTGAGACCTCCCACCCATTCCCTGGATGGCGGGGGCCACCTGCGTCCCCGACCCCACCCCTCTGCATGCCCCAATCAGTGTCACGATGCCTGGGCGGCCTTGTATGTGGGAGTTGACAGCACAGAGTTTGTTTCTGGAAAGAGAAAAGCACCACAATCCAAGTTACTGTTTTAAAATTTGACAGCAGTCGACTTGGCTTCAGTGGGATTCCCTGATTTGGAATGAAATCGGGTGACATAGCCGCATCACAGACAGTTGCTTGTATCCTTAGCCTGTCGCTCATGTGCATCACCTGCGGGCTGCTAGTTCAGAGGAGAAACGAGAGAATGCGGGCATTTAACAGAAACAGGGACAGAGTGGACACTCCCCACCCACCTCACCCCAGAAAAGCACCCAGACCCCAGCAGCTCTGCTGAGCAGGGCAGGCTTCCCGCTTGTTTTGGCTGCGTTTTGTGGAAGTGTCGGCCAGAAATTGCCACACTGGATATCGGCTGTCGGCTGTTGAGCTTGCTCTTAATGATCAGATGCACCTCACGCCTCAGCAGGCCACGCTTAGGGTTGTCTCTCTTGTCTCGAAGTAGTGGGGAGAGCTTGGCCTAGAACCTTTGTGCCCTGGGGTAGGGCCTTGGGGGTTTGTTTGGGTCAAGCTCCTTAAACCAGTGTGTGTGCAGCCTGTCGTCTAAGGGTGTCCTGAGCCGTGCAACAAATGTGACATATTAACCCTTGAAGTTGGTAGAGAAAACTTTGACCAGTCACTTTTTTCATGTTAAAACATAGTGTTTCATGGAAGCTGAGGCGTACATGTTTGTTACTACATTTTTACTTCATTTTGAATGTTCACTGTCTACTTTGATCATACACTGAAAATTTTAAATTATTCAAATGAGGTTTAGCACAAAATTGACTGAATTTAAATGTAAAGCTTAAGGACTTCTAAATAATGTGCAGAAGTGTGTAATCACAATGATGATGTAAGAGTTCTTCTCTGCCCCTCTGCAGTACATCCCATTCCTCCTCCGGCCCCAGGCCCTCACTGAGTAGCTTCCTGTCACTCTGTCTAGTTTTCCTTTTCCTGCATATGCTGTAAATGGAATGATACAATATGAATGATTGTATCGGACTTAATTTTCTGAGCAAGATATTTTGGATTCATCTGCATTATGGTTATATCATAGTTTGTTTCTTTTTTGCAGTCAAGTAATATCCATTGCATAAGTATGAACATTTTAATTTCTCATTCATTTGTTGGAAGATACTTAGGTTGATCTAGCTTTAGGTTAATATGAATAAAACTGTTTGAATGAGGGAAAAAAAAAAAAGAAAACACAGCATTTCAAAGTAGAATGTAAAGTGTGTGAATTTTGAAGATAGGTGAGGAGTCTCCATGAGGTTTGTATCTTCCAGCCGCTGGAAGCTAGGCCTCTGACTTTGGGAGACACCCGTTTTTCCTGTCGGTACCTGGAAAGGCCTGTTGCGTTTGGTCCATGGGCTGCCCCTGGGAGGTGTGTGGTGTCTACAGCCTGGGACCCGAGCAGACTGCGGTCCTCACCTGGGCGCAGAGGAGTTTACCTGCCAGCCCTGTCTGGGGATCGACCCTTTGGGGCTATTTTCCTAGTTTCAACAGTGAGTTGCAGAGACCAACACCTAATGTGCTTTGGTGGTAAAGAGAACCATGTGGCTCCAAATTTAAATGTTTCAAGTAGGCTGTGGTCCTTTTTTACACAGGTCCCTTTGTCATGAAAATGCAGAAATGCCCCTGAGTTAATTTCTTCACTATGGAATATTTATGGTAGAGATCATGGAGTTCTTTGTAGCTGAGGCTTTAAAAATATTTTCATCATGCTTTTTTTCGTAATCAATCAAAACATGGTTTTTTATACCTTCATTGGTAATCCTGGAGGTGTTGCTATTCCACAATGTGGCCACTGGGTGGAGTACAAGTGTCTGTGTTTTTTGGTAAACAGGACAGCTTGTGGTTTAAAAATATTTTCTGTTGAACTAATTTTGCACAACTTCAAATAAGCAAATTTCAGGTAATGAAGTTTTAAGCAATTCCTTACACTTTCTTAAAAAATTCTTTAGCTTCATCTCATATGCTTAAGGGATTAGTAGTGGAAAAGAAATGAGCAAAGTTAAATTTTATTTAGCGTCGTTATCACTTGTGGAATCTGGGTAAGAGTCTGATAACCCTGGGTAACTTTTGGTATTGTTTCTCTAAGCTAGACTGTTTTGAAAGACCCATGACTTAGAAAAGACAGCTTCCAGCCCCCCTTTAAAAAAAATCATTAAAAGCTTTTCCCAGTATTTAGCCTGTTGCTTTCGTTTTAGTCTGTGGTGAGAAGTTTGACCGCCCTTTACTGTGAAATTGTTTGTGGAACGCGGCTGGGCTGGAAAGTGGCACCACTCGGGTGGGACTGGGCCAGAACACCGAGTCCCGGTGTGGAGGTCTGGACAGTGCCCGGTCTGTGCGGGGAGGCGGGAGGTGAGCTCACCTCTGAGGGGCCAAGGCTCCTGCTCCGCTGCAGGCACAGCCTCCGGTGAGTCACCGCCCGGACAGGGACGCAACACCGAGGTGGGCGGAGGCCCGGTGGCAGCTGGGGCCACCTTGTGTAACAGCCGCGCCGGGCTCGTGCCCCCTGCCCCCTGCCCTCTGCCTGGCCTCGCCCCCACTGGCTCCTGTTTCCCGTCCGCTGCCTCCCCTTCCAGGGGTGCGGCCTCCTGGGTCTCCTCTGGGCGCAGTGGGGGAAGGAGCTGAGCCAGGAGCTAGGTGGGGGACACTGGCCCATTGCCTGACCTTTCTGGGCCTCAATTTCCTTCCACTTCAGCTAGGGGGAGATAAGCTTTTTCTTTTTCTTTCCCATCTGCCTCCTCCCTACAGTTTCCCTCTTCTTCTGCTGTCTACTTCCGTATTTTTCACGTCTCCTCACGTTTTGTTTCTGACTTTTCCTTTTCTCCCCTTCATCTCTGTAGGTCATTTGTCTTCCCTGTCCTGTTCTGTCCTCTCTACCTTCTCCTTTCCCCTCCATGTCCTCCTCATGGTGCAGCACCCACCACAAGGTTTTTGTGACACTGTGATGCCAGGCACCTGAACCACGGTGGTTGAGGAGGGGCTGCTGTCCATGGCCTGTTCTCTGTGGAGAGGGCCATGTGGCTGGGCCAGGCCTGTCCCCCATTCTCCTCCCCATCCACAGGCTGGACAGCGAGCAAGCAGGGGAGTGCGGATCCCAGACACGTCTCCTGTTTCTAGTCTGGATGAAACTGGTTTTAAGTCTGCCACTTAACATCACTTTATTGTGTAATTTGGTGGTGTATTGCTGTATTAAACACTCCCATCCCCTCTTATTTGGTCAGACATTTGGAAATTTTGTCTTTTTGTGAAATTTGGAGGTAGAAAAGGTTTAATGTGAAGACCCTGAAATGCATGCAGAGGAGGCAAAGCACAGCTGGTGGGTTAAATCCCCTGTGCAGCCTGAGTTCCCTCCTGCCCCCAGCTCAGGATGCTCTCCGGCCCAGAGCAGCGCTGCAGTGGAGATTTGGCGTGAACACCATTGGTCACATTGAAAAGGGGAAAATGCAGCATCTTATCTAACTCAGTCTATAAAATATTATCACTTAAAGAGTGTTATATAAAAATGTATGAGATTATTTCAGCTTTTCCCCATCCCACGTCTTCCAGCTGGAGCCCTGGGCAGTTGGTACTGCCCACCTCACTCGCTTAGCGGCTGCCTGTGCCTGACGGGCATTTGTAGGGTACAGGCTGCCCTAGAAAATGACTGGAACAAGATAGATTTTAATTAAAAATCTAAGATATCTTGCCTGTGAGTGCTGTGTGTTCTAGGGTTTTAGAGGCATTGAGTTGAAGTTACTTTATGCTAACTTGAGAGCTCTCGAGGAGCTCGTGGGGCTGCGCACCCTCTAAGTCTGCTGAGTTTTGTTTGTTGTTTTCAGTGCCGAGCACCATCGTCTCACAGAATCATGAAAAGTACTGGTCATGGCAGTGTGATGAAATAAAAATAGTCAGCACTTGAGCTCCACGAAGCAGGTATAGCCCGGGCAGGCCCCTGATGCTCAGAAAAGATGGTCGATTATTTCCTTAGGAGACTAGTTCGAACGTGGTTGTGTTTCCATATGCACAGCTGTTGTTACTTCTGCCAGTGACGCTGTGATTGTGTTGGGGAATCTTGAACTCAATCCCTGTCCTGTGACGGAAGCTGTGCTGGCCGATGTGCAACTGGGCAGGCCCGGCACCTATCAGTGTCAACACATGGCACGGCCACCCCGTGCCCTGCTTATCTCCCTGCAGAGAAGGGGATGGGGCGCTTGGAGCAAATCTCATTGGTAAACTTGTGTGTGCATTGCTTTTTTATAGAACCATTTCCTTTCAGTTCAACCCTGTCCCGTGTGTGCTGAGAGCAGCACTTGGCTGTCAGCAGAGAGCTTTCTGTTTTGGCTGTCCTTTCACTCGGTGAGAGACAGGCTTCGTGAGCAGCTCCCCTCTAAGATGTTTCACTTAGAAGATGGGAGTGAAGACGGGGAGGAGGCTCCCGAGAGCCCCGTCAGTGAGCGTAGAGGCATTTACCGTGGCAAGGCCCCCCCGGGGCTCCTGGTGAGTCCCCTGGCCTGGCCCTGGTGCAGGTGCGATGCCCCTCGTCCTGCCTAGTGGCCCTGCTCTGTCCGGGCCCGTGCAGCACTGTGGCGCATCTGACACTTCGCGCCTGGCTCTGAGCTGGCTCTCTGCCTTTTCCTTTTGTTGGTATTTGACAAGTTGTCACTGCTGCCTGGGAGAAAAACTGAAGTTGCTTTGAACTGAGAATTTTTTTAAAAACTAGATTAAAAATAATGTACTTGGTTTCATATTCTTAGCATCTCATGTAGTATTTGAGGTAGAAAAGTTATTTAAAAGTGTTATGGTTTTTATGGTCAGCCAAGTCTTTTGAAAGCTAAACTACTGATTTGAAACAGGCCTTTTATTGGGTGTATGAGAGAGAAAAGTGCCTGCAGTCCACTCTTCTGTGATTGCATAAGACATTCCTGTCTTGAAGTCATATGAGGAAAAATATAAATTAATTTTTTTATCTAGAGTTTCCTATAAAAATGTGAAATAGATGCTTTCTTTAAAGGCATTTAGAAAAGGGTGAATGTTTGTATCAAAACGTAAAACCAGCAAACCAGAACTTGGCGGTTTCTAAAAGCACACCGAGGGTTTCGGATGCATACTCTGGCTGGGGGGTTTTAGGCGTACACCTGTCGCCTGTGCTCCGGCTTCAGGGTCTCAGACCCCGCCGGGGCTGATGGACTGGTGCGTGCGAGGGCAGGGCAGCTGCCGCCGGGAGGCGCTGGCTCTTGAGCTCCCGCCAGTCCATGTGCCCCGGGGCCGGCTTCGTGTGGAAAGCTCAGGGCTGTGAGCGGCGCCAACACACAGCTGCCCTTCCCCCGCAGTGCCTCGGCTTGGTGCTGCAGTGTTTCCAGAGGAGGTCAGGGGTGTCTGCTTAGGCTGCACTTTGTGAGCAGTCTCGTTTACGTGGCTGTTCAGTCACCGCCCCACCCTAGAGAAAGGTGCGTTTTCTGAACGGCCAGCACTGACACTCATGTCCTGTCTGCCCAGCCCGGGGCAGCGGTGCGGAAGTCCAGCTCCATACCTGGGTGTGTGGCCGGAGCGAGCACGGCTGCCGGGCCCAGGCCTCCTGAATCGGGCGCCTCTCACAAGCCACTTCCTTCCGGGGCGCCTCGCGACGCTTTCACTTTGCAGGACTCTCTCAGTGGTCTGATTTGTCATGAGTTGGAAGCCATGAGGAGACTTCTGTGCTTCCCTAAAGATCAGGGGCGAGGGGTAGAGCCCCTCTGTCCTCTCAGCTCCTTCTCGGGGACCTGGCACTGGTTGGTTTCCTGACCTGAGCTGCAGTGGGAGGTGGCGAGTCACCCTGGGGCTGGCGGGTGACCTGGAAGAGTGCTTCGTACTAAGCTGGGCTTCAGGGCGGGGGACAGACGGGGGCCCAGCCCCAGCACACTGCCCCCTCCTCACTGCCTGAAGTCTTAGAACGCTAGGTGAGCAGCGGCTCGGAAACTAGCCGCGTCCCTCCAATCCGGCCTGGGCAGGGTTTACAGACATAGTAAAGTGTTTGATCGCATAGAACCTCGTCTTTGGAGGTCATCTTCAGAATCGTCTGTGAACTCCCACACCCTCTGCGAGCGCCGGCAGGGAGCCTCCCTCCCTAGCAGGGTGCTGAGTGTCCCGCTCCAGCTCCTGCAGGTCCCTGCACTGGAGAGGACCCGGGGCCTCGGCCTGCAGATTCGGATGAGAACTTGAGGCGGCCAGCGAGGCAGTGTATTGGGTGGGGCCGCCACTGGCCAGCCAGTCAGGTGTGGGGGCCTTCTGTTGAAATCTGAATCCGCAGCACGTTTGCCTCTTGTAACCCTAACCCCACAGTTGAGTCAGGAACTGGGGCCCACGTAGCCTTGGACGGCAGCCACAAGTGTGTAGGTGTCTGGAGATCCTCGGTCACCCCAGGCCACCCTGTGTTCCCCGGGGGACACAGCTACAGGGCGCATGCAGGCACCTTGCGGGGTGGGGTCTGGCCCAGGGGAGCACCTGGAGGAGACAGCTCCTCTTCATTTAGCAGATACTCATCCTGCCCCGCCCGAGTCAAGATGCTTCCAGGTGCCTTCTGTCTGCATTGACTAATGTGCCCTGAGTCGTGCCCGCACTGAGGCCTGACTCCGGACTTCAGAGGGGAGGCTGTCCCCTCAGAACCCCAGCTCTGCCCTGTAGATCGCCCCGAAGTCTGGCTCCTGGGCTGGGCTAGAGTTGGACACAGCTCTCCAAGGGTCTAGATATGAATCTCACCCTTTTGGGAAAACACTGCTTTTAGACCCTGCCTGTGTTACATTCGTATCTTACATCGTTTTGAAAGTAGAACAATTTCTGACTCTTTTTATTGTTTTGAGTCTTGTTCTAGAACAAGATTTCTTTGTCTTTCCCTTGAAGCTTATTTTATTTTTGTTATCTAAGATCTCTTGAAACATTATGGGGGAAATAGTTCCCGAAGGGTGATAAATCTGTGCTGCTGTTGTATAACAGCGAGGCTTCAGCTCTGTGATGAAAGTGCTTGGAACTTCGTGTGCTTTGGCCGTGCACCCCAACCTGGCGCCCAGCTGTGCCCAGCAGGTCCCGGGAACCCTGGCAGTTGTGTAACGCTGCCGTGCCGTCAGCGCCCAGCCCCCCACTGGACCATGCCTCAGGTGAGCTCCAGCTGGGTGGGCATGGTGGCACTGCTCACGTCTGGTCACCTTTGTTTCTCCCAGGTGCAGAGCATGAACTCAGAGCCATGCGGACTGCTGTTTGGTCATGAGGTGGGAGTCATGTTGGAAAACTCGTTCCTCGGTTCCGGTGAGGTGGCAGGGAAGTGGGAGACGTGACTTTCTCCAGCTCTGTTCCATCTCCCTGGAGGCCAGAGGGAGCGGGGAGCAGACCCACTCCCCGTTACCAGGCAGCTCGAGACAGGTGGACATGCTGAGGCCCCTGGGGCCCTGCAGTGGTCCCATAGCAGTGGGCAGGGTGGCTGTCAGTCCTCCAGGCCTGGGGAACTGTGTGGCCAGAGGTGACCCGAGCCCTGTGTCCGGTGTCCCTGCCGAGCTCTGGACTCTGCCCCGAGGCGCAGGCTGACACAGGCAGCAGTGCTGGGCAGCACAGGAGTGTCCGGCTCTGTTTTCAGAACCCAGCTGCAGGCCTCATGCGGGCTTGTTTTCCGAAGCCCTGTTTCAGAATCCAGCTGGATCCCCGCCCCCCCACCCGCCCCGCCCCGCCCCGCCCCGAGTTGTCATGTGTCCTCGGCGCTTCCCCTCCATGACAGTGCCTGGGCCCTTCCTAGTTTTCCCAGAACGTGACATTTCCACGGTGCTGCCCAGGTGTTTGGTAGGCTTCTGCTCTGGGTTCATCTGGCATGGGTCTCGTCTGTGGATTGAGGTTTTGCACAAGGATCACACAAGTGACATGCTCTTTTCTGTAGGTCATCCAGGGGGTGGGGGCTAATGTGGACATGCCAGATTATGAGTGACATCCCCTCGAGCGTGTGGTTGTGGGGCCTGTTTGGCCCACTGTGGAGTGCGGGCTTTTCCTGTTGTGAGGAGTCGGCCTGCTTGGGCTGTGGTGGTGAGGATGTGCACACGTCCTGAACCGCCTCCCTCCCCTGTGTTAAGCACCCTCGGCGGATCCTGCTTGTCACGGTTTTTTCTGCTTTGCTTTCTTTTTTACTTGGAATGCATCAGAGAGAGCTGTCCTTCTCACCTACTTCTTTATTAACCCTGATTTGTCACGGAAGGGACTCGTGAACACCTGCCTTATTCCCTGGGTTTCAGTTCAGTCTTACTGTGTGGCTCAGCTGGTTCTGCTGTAGCCACTGGGACCTCTGGGCCTCTTGTGTTCCAGGCCTTCCCATCTCGAGCGCCTCTGGACTATATGGGAGGCTCCGGGAGCAGCTTGTGTCCCCTGCCTTCGGGAAGCCCTGGCTCCTCTCGTTGGTTCTGAATGTTACCTGAAAACCAAGATCTGGCTCTGGATGCCGGCCCTGCTTCTAGGCCCTGCCTGAGCGAGCTGGGGGTGTGGGCCTGTGCACTTTAACCCAGGCCTAAGTGACAGCTCCCTCCATCCGTCCATCCAGCCGCATCTGGCTGCCTGTGGGTGTGGTTGCAGCGCAGCACCACAGGGCCCTTCCAGCCATCCCTCGGGACTGTGTTTGAGAAGCTTCCGGGGTGTCTGTGATGAGCCAGACTTGGGGACAGTGGCTTCTGCACAGATGCCTGTTGGGTGCTCTGCGGGCTCAGTCAGATGCTGCACTCTTCGCTAGTGAACAGCCTTCCTCGGAGTCATCCCTCCCCGTAACTGAGCTATCGTTTCTTCTCGCACTACATTCTTACGTCACTCTTAGCCCTTAACTGAGGAGACTCAGCTTCCTAAGAGTAAGTACCCTGATGTTCAGAGTGGAGTAGGACGTGCTCCCGTTTTGTAGCCAGTGTTATTTTGAAAGCTTGTTGAAGAAACTGAGTTTACTTGAGTTAATGTTCAGTGGGCTGAATGCTCAGGAAACGGTTAAACACTTTTTAAACATATAAATAGCCCACCCAGACAAGTAACTCAAGGTCTCTTTTTTGTACCAGTTTGCATTCCTTTTCTTAGTGCAGTCTTCCTTCTGAAGCAGGTATTTCCCCGGAATTGGGTATTGAGCCTAGGACCTTGTGCACGCTAGGCAAGCGCTCTAGCTCCGGGCTACCCCAGCTGGATGCGTTGCTGAGTGCTTGGGCTGGCCTCCTGAGTGTACCAGGGTTATAGGAGTGGACACCTCATGTCACTGGGCGAATCAGACTGTGAGCTTTGGGCCTGGAGGTACTAAGGTAGTAGCTACTGCTTTAATTAAAGTCAGTGTGGTGCCCTTCAAGGCCCTGTGTTTGTCCGTCTGTCCTGTTCCTACCTGAGCTTAACCAGGATGGTGCGGGAGGCAGGTGAGGGACCTTCAACCCTGGAGATGAACAGTTTTCGGATGTCAGTTTAACTCACCTGTGATCGTAACAAAGGGTTGTTTTGCTTTGTTGTGTTTTGCGGGGGCTGAGAGAGGGGGGAGAAGATGGATGGGAGGAAAGGAGTTAAGTTTAACATGTCTTCCCCAGACCTACACTTACAGGAGCACACTAAATTGTTCCCAGTCTGGGGCTGTAATTCTGTGGAGCAGTCACCTTGTCAGTTCCTGGCTTTTAGCCCGGTGTATAAATAGGAATTTGTATCCTACCAGTGTCTGTACGTATGGTTTCTATAGAAACCCACTAATACCGTGTGCCTTTCAACGGTGGAAGTGAGCCAGACTGTCAGATTTCCTGCTTTATTTTAGAGATGCTTTGTGGTTATGTCAGTGGTCACCGCAAAATAGGTCAGTTACACCATTGTCTTCTCTTAGGTGTAGGATGAGAACCTGTCCTTACACACGTGTGATTATAATGTCACACGTTTGAGTCTCGTAATCGAAAGCTTAGCGTTTCTCATGTCTGATTGCATGTGAAGGGATTGTCCTGGCCTTGCACACAGAGGTTCCAGCCCACACGAGGCCTCGTGGTTCCACACATGGCAGCAGCGTGTTAGGGGCACAACCCTGATTGGGAGAACCCTCGGAAGGCATAGGTGCCAGTGTCTCCTCTTTTCCTCATGGCTAACGTCAGGAAGAACGACTAAAACACTCCAGTTATATCTTGGGTTGATGGGATCTGTCAAGGATACGCAGTGTTTAAAAAGTTACGACTGTGAGTTTGGATTTCGGCTAGTGTAGAGGAACCTGCATTAAACAGGTCCCACACAAGAAAACGTAAGCTTATAAAGTAGGTTACCACTTTTAAAATAATTCAAAGAGGAATTTCTTTTAATAGTAAACTCCCATGAGTGCACTAACGATGTCTAAAAGCAATAGTTGCAAAATCAACCTTTCAGAAATACATCTGAACAGCCCCACTCTGAAGTGTGTGCCCAGGTAGAATGGAATCATGTTCACATAAAAGCCTGCATGCACACATTTCTATCAGCTTCATCTTCATAATGGCCAGGAACTGGGAGTGGCGCGGATGTCTTCCACCTGCCGAACTGAGAAACTTGGCACAGCCAGTTGGTTGACAGACTGCCGCTTAACAGGGACAGCCAGGGTTGCGTGTTCTGTGCTCAGGGGCACAGACTCATAGCGTGTATGGTTCCAGTTGTGTGATGCTCTGGAGAAGGGGGGCTGGAGAGAAGGTGGCCAGAGGGAGCAGGCCAGCTGGAGGCAGTCCGGTGGTTTTGTGTCCTGATCATGGCATGAGTGATGATTTTGTGATTAAAACTCACAACTACGAACGTCAGAGTTACGTGTAGTGTATGCAAAGTATACTTTTTCAGAAGTCTGTTTTGAGGCCCGGGGATTTAGCTCTGGTGCCACCGCACCTGCCTTGCAAGTGCAGGGTCCCAAGTTCAATCCCCAGTACCAAAAAAAAAAAGGTCTGTTTTGATTAGTTCAAGGTACAGCTATTTGAAATTGTAAGATTGCATTTCACAGCAGTCAGCACTAACTTGTAGCCAGAAGGTTTTCTGTGCTGACCAGTACAGCCCTTCCACAGGTGGACATAATAGTTTGATAGCTCCCATGATTGATTATAGACAGATTCCAGCTCATTATACTTCCTGATGGTTTTACTGCTTGCGTGGGTTTCTCTCTAGTCTGGGGCAGGTTAAATGAGCCCCGAGATAATGTCTGTCACTTTGTGCTCAGAGGTCAGGCTGGGCCTGCTTCAGCTGAGCCAGGAACAGTGAGAACTGAGCTCTCACAGGGAAATGTGGGAGAGGGAGAGAAGTGTGGGACAGAAGCCGCTATACAGCACTGTGGCAGCTCAGGACGAGGGTGCTCCGGCCCTGATGTGCGGTTGGCGAGGAAGTTGAAGTCCACCTCTCCTACCATGTGCTTGCCACTGCGGGGTCTTCTTGGCAGAGTCTAAAGATGCATGTGGAATTAGATTTAGTTGTTGTTGCTGAAGAAAATGAATATTCTGGCACATCTCGAGGGCTAGGATAGGAAACCACACCATTGTTCCTGTGTGGCATCGCAGCTGTGCCAAGTGGGGAGTAGAGAATGTGAAGCCAGGCTGTGGTCGTCTCCAGTCTGGTGGTCACATCTGGCTTCCGCCCCACATCGCCACCGGGCTGCTCAGGTTCTTGAGAGTAATCTGCACAGAGGTCATTGGTTCCCACGGGCGTTTGCAGATTTACCCATCCCGAGGGGGTGTCTGTCTCAGCTGTCCCCACAGCGGCCGGATCGATGCCAGTTTCTCATGGCATCTGGAGAAAAGCACTGGTTTCTCTGTGCACATGGGGTCGACATCCACCGACGATTTGTTTCTTATGTGTCCCTTCCTTTCCCTCCTGAGTTTCTGGTGAGACAGGGCAAACCGCTGTGTATTCTTGCCTCTCCCTGCTGATCTGTTCACAGGATCTCACACGCCCTCGCTGGGGAGCTCCATCACTGTGACTGGTGATCTAGAAACACTCAGGCTGGGCAGCTCAGTGGCACAGCACTTGCCCGGCGTGCAGGAGGCCCTGGCGTCCACTCCCAGCCACCACCAGAAAGGAAAGAAGTGATTTTGAATTCATGATTGCAAGACGCTGTGCCGGGCTCTGGGGAGACCATGAAGCGTGCAGCGCTTCTCCCTTCTTTCCCCCGACATAGTTTGGGGCGGGCCAAGCGAATCACTGCAGTGTGGCGAGCAACCCCCCACCCCCCGTCTCACCTCTGCTTTGCTGCTTTTGGCACTTGGACCAGACAAAGCATGCTCCCTGCTGCCTTCCTGAG